ATTTCATGTTCCAATAACATGTAGTTCTAATAATAATAATATACTTTAACCAGCAAGATCACAAAAAGATGGTATACTAATTCCAAGCCAGGAAAATCAAACTGGTATTTATGTTGCCAACACCTCTGACCATTACAGAAACGCCGATAAATGCATTCGACAGGGTGATAGTGGAAAATTGAAACGAATATGCAATTTCAATGATATGCGATTTAACAAAATATTTTGTAGCTATTTCAGTACCAAACAAAGGCAGTTGCAAACGCAATATTTGAATCTTTTATACTGAAGTTCGGTCCAATGAAGAAGTTTATGGGAACTGAATATAAAAATTCTATTATTAATGACCTGTGCAAATACCTAAAGATAGACAATTTAACGTCTACAGCACACCACCACAAGACAGTTGGAACAGTAGAAAGTAGTCATAGAACTTTCAACGAATACATACGTTATTATATATCGGTTAATAAAACCAAATGGGATGTATGGCTCCAATATTTTGGTTACTGTTTAAAAACGACCCCCTCCATGGCACACAATTATTGTCCATATGAGTTAGTTTTCGGCAAACATAGCAACTTGCCAAAATATTTTAATAAAACAGATAATATTAACCCTATATATAATATAGATGATTACGCTAAGGAAACAAAGTTTAGACTAGAACCCGCATATAAAAGAGCTAAGATAATGTAAGAAAAACATAAGGCAAAAATAAAGAATATTATGATAAGGATATCGACTTTCAATTAAAAGTAGGAGATAGGGCTTTATTAGGAAACGATACTGGCCATTAATTAGAACCACTTTATTTATTTATAAAGAAATAGGAATAGAAAAAAAAAAGATAACATTACAATATAATATAAAAAGATAATAAAAAGAAAGTTCATAAGGGTAGGTTAAAAATGTTTACTTCATAATTTTTATGGCGTGGCCATGCATAAGAATATTCATATTATTATTTTTTTTTACTTTTCTCAGTATTATTAACTTGAGTAATACATTTACATTTTTACATTTTAAAATTAAAAAAAAAAACAAGAGGTTCTAGACGGGAGCTCCCGACTAGGGGATACCCTGAACCCTCTTCTTCCAACATCAAATGTATATATGTATATATTTTATTTTAGAAGCTATATGTCAACTTTGGTGACTCTAGCTCTTATTATTTACCAAAATTGCCCAAAAAACAGGATATCGATATCGATTGCTTGGAAACGTAAGTTATCGATTATCGGAAACAAACTTGATCTGCGCGAGAACTAGGAGCATCTACATCTAAAATTTCAAGTCTCTAGCTCTTATAGGTTCTGAGCTAGATCGACTCGGCTATTCGTGCTGATCAAGAATATATATACCCTATGGGGTCGGAGATGCTTCCTTCTGCCTGTTACATACATTTGGATTTTGCACAAATACAATGTACCCTTATACCCATTTTTAATGCGTTCAGGGTAAAAAAATGAATCAAGAAAGAAATCACTTGAGAGATGATGAGTGTGACAATGTTGAAGACATTTGTCAAGGCACTGTGGCACTAAGCGAGACTGTGGTTGGGCTCAAACACGATGGCTAAGACCGCACAACAATAGTCACGCCGTGCACAAGTGCTCGATCACGGCGTAATGAAGCGAGTGATATTGGGGTGGGGGTCATAGGTTGAAAGAGCTGTATGGATCCGCTCCATGCTATCGTTGCTGGGCAGCTGAGCCTATAGAAGTGTGATGACAGAACAACATAAAAAAACAGAAAGAATAAAGGACAAGAAAATCTACAATGTCCGATGATACCGTTCAAAGAGACAGTAAAGAGAACACCAGTGAGGGTGAAACTGTTGAAAGAGACAGCACTGCTGCCTTAAGGGCTGATAACGAAAGTTTGAATATTGGTCATAATGTAAGCACAGGCGCAAAACATACTGATGTTTGTGTTGATCATGGCGTGTGGCGCATTTTATAGATTTCAGAAAAAAAAATTTACCCAACAGAATGATAAAGATTATGTTAAAGTATGATTTGAGAAGGCTTGGTACTATTTTGTGTAATCCTTAGAATAATAATAAGTCTTTATGAATTATGGTCCTTTGAACACGAGGTCGTGTTAGAGTCAGGATGGCCGTGTCGTCGCATAAGGAATGTCTGTGTGGTTACACGTAGAATGTCACAATAATGATTGGGAATATCAAAATATTTGGTAGTTCACAATGATTGGGAATGGCAAATGATATTGTGTGCAACTGTTCTAGAAGCATTATTGTCGCTTTGCTTAAAACTGCCAGGTGAGGCGACAATGTCGCCGAGTGTGGTCCGATGGGAAGAACGTTGAACGAAACTCGCTGAGTTCTGGAGCTTGATACAATGAAAAATAATACTCACACTCCACAATATGTTTATTTATGTTATTAGAAAATTAAATATATAACTAAATAAACATTAAAATCACTTAATTCTTTTGTTGGTTACGCGTCTGCGCTATTCGACTTGGAGTAAGAAACTACTTGATCACATTTAAATATGTCTGTATATATATACGCCATTTTCCGCCTTTGTTTTATAGTTTAGTTTTGTTACTTGCCTGTTTATAATCCGCTTATCTGTAGCATTTCAAAAGAGTTATAGTCACGTTGTCCTTTTTGGAATATTGTCGTTGCCCTAAAATTTGCTTTTTCTATGGTTGTTTAATGTCTGAGCTTGCTGTCACAGAGTTTCCAATTCTTGTAGGGCTTATGAGCTATTTGAATTTCTTGTCTTCCATTGAAATGATTATTTAAATTATTCCCGAAGTTGAGGTATTTATTTCAGCGATCTCTATGCTGTTGCTTTTTGTCCAGATTTTACTGTTCTTTTGCATTTTTTATACCCTGAACCCATTAAAAATGGGTATAAGGGTATATTGTATTTGTGCAAAATCCAAATGTATGTAACAGGCAGAAGGAAGCATCTCCGACCCCATAAAGTATATATATTCTTGATCAGCACCAATAGCCGAGTAATACAGTGATACGATGTTGATAGGATTTTGAATATATTTGAGGAGCTCAGTAAACCAAATACAATATAAACACTAAGATGAGTTACGCCATACAACGAAATCCTACTATGCAGCTTAATTTTTTGAAAATTCAGAACGGAAATGACTCCAACACTCTAACGCTCTCACAGCTGAAGGAGCGAACGCTTTAAAAATATAATGTTCTGTTAGATTCGGCTCTTTGAGGCTAGATTGACTCGGCTGACGATGCTGATCAAGAATACATGTACTTTATGGGATCAGAGATTCTACCTTCTGCCTGTTACATACATTTGCAAAAATACATTATACCACTAACCATACAATGTATACTCAGCGGACCAACACGCGAGCCTTTAGAGAGAGTCTCGCAAAATGCTCACAAATGAGCTCGCATGTGAGCAGAAAACGAGTGGGATATATATTTTTATCGCAAAACACTCGCACACGAGCGTTGCAGTGAGATCCTTGCAATAAAAATGAGTGCACAGTAGAGAGAATGGTGTGTTGTTTTAGTTTCAAATGTTAATCGTGCCAGAGAGTGCAACATTGTCATAAGAGCGAGAGAGTAAAAACGACGTGGCATTCGGATGCTGTGTTGTTTTTGTTGTTTTTTTCTACTCAGACCGTTTTTTGGTGGTTGAAAAACTCCTTTGTTCTCTTTTCTATTGTCCGCCTAAGCAAGCAGACACGTAGTCAGAGTGATAAGTGATTTGTATAAATTTGGATTTCTATAGAGAGGTAAGTAAATAACAAGTGTAAATTAATAACTAAACTATTCTCTTTCAGATTATATTTAAATAAATATACAAAAAATTAAAACACATTAAGTTTTATTTAAATAGTTGTAAATAAAATTATTTTCTATTATATATTCAATTTTTTATAATTCTAAGATTGCTTTAAAATGCCTTTAATGTTAAGTTCAATTAAATGCTATTTATTTTTAAAATACAATTTGAATTAAAATGAATATTTAAAAAAATAGCAACAAACATTTTTATGGGAACAAAATGGGCATGAAACAAAAAAAGTTTCGCAAATCATATTTCATATATATCGTATTTCATATATTTCATATGTCGTATTTCTGACAGTCGTAAATGAAACTTTGACAGCCACAAACTGAACGACATATAATTCATATTGTTATCGTTTCCCGATGTGTTTACGAGAGTTTTGTCGGGTAAAGTCTCGCATTTGACCAGTTTGCGATATCATTTGAGATAGTTTGGTCCGCTGGGTAGACATGCCAAATGGACCTTACTATCGAAACAAAAAAATTGAAACGACGCAACCCCAAGGGTACCTTCGAGCACTTTAGTGTGCCCAGACATAGTAAGACTGCTGAGAGTGGCAGCCGATCCCCGGCATCGAAAGCCAAACGTTCAGTATAAAGCCGCATCTCGCTTAGCGTACAACGTCTCAGCATCTGATGCGTTTTTCTAATATATGTATGTCATCTTTAAATCCTTACAGCCCAAAAACATATGTGTGTATGCATGTGCCTCGGTCTTACTCACTGCTTCGCGCACTTGCGTCCATATCTTTCTCCCAGCATAGCTTTCCACAGAACCCCGAGATCTACATACATTTATATGTTTATGTTGTGTGGATGTGCGCACAAGTAGATCGCGGCTTGCGTAAGTGTGCGTGCTTGGCCGGCCCAGAAAGTTATCATGCACACATGCCATAGTTCAGGTACCTTTTCCTTTCAAGAAGCATGGGAAGTAGCAATTCAGCACATAAACAGGGCAAACCCTTCAATAATATCACACAACTGCACAAGCAGCAAGTCGCAAAAATTGAACATTGTCAATTTTTGGACTTTTCTGAAATTTTTACAAGTTGACGACTTTGAGGGAAAACATGCAGCATAAGTTTAATTGAACAAACATTTACGATTCTGCGTCAAGGAAACTTGACAATAACACAAGGAGATCGAACGTAAACTTACGTTTTTTATAAAAAAGACAATACTGACTCACGGCTCCATCGTGGTAACCTCTCTAAACAAGAAATACAATAACAGCCCACAGAGTACAAATTTCATTAAAGAAAGTACAACATAGTAGCCCGCTCCAAAAAATAAAAACTTATCAACTAAAACACATACTCGTTTGGGCAGAAATTAATGCGTTATGTTAGCCTAGTGGTAAGAATTTTTAAGCTGAAAAATAAACTTTCGCTTATTAAAGCTTTGACTTGCATTTTTATCTAAGAACGTTGAACCATGCGAAAACGTGTTAACTAAAGCCCGTACTCGTTTAATTTTTTTTGTAGAAATTAGAAAATAAGACTTGAATACATAATGGCAGAGAAGAGTTTAAAATAAAGAAATTATATGTGATCTATTGTTCCAATAAGAGCAATATAGGTGGATTAACGAATGAAGATGCAAGATTATGCTAACGAGATTACGAGCTGCATGAAGCTGGCCGTCTCCCACCAGGGTGTTGATAAAAGGTTTTCGAAGATAACTGAACTACATTATTCCAGCCCAAGGTAATATAGCATTATACAGAGTGGGGTGCTGAACCTCCTGCAGACCGTTAGAAAACTAAACGGTACCGTCAATATGGAATGACCGAGCTCTGTAAAACCAATAGGAGATAGGCACTCCACCCCAGGTCCTAGGACAAATCTAACTAGAGCAGCGTCTAGCTTATAAGATTGCTGCATTTGCTAAGGAAACACCTCGTATCCATCGGTCATGACCGCTTTTTAGGTTGTTTGGGATTCAAATTCTTTTATTTGCAACTGATATGTTGTTACTAAAGCCTAGCATTTTTTATCAGCGTGAAGAGATCATTACCCCAGCCTAACATATAATTCATATTAGTGTTTTATGGATATAGGCAAAAAAGAGAGCCAATCTCCCGCGATAAGAGGGAAAGTATAGAAAACGAATACAGAATCGATTTCTAGCAGAGCTCAAAGATAGCAGGGAGCCACCACAATGTAGGCTGACTTTAGCACAGATTAGAAGTAATCGCCCGCAACAATAAACGCTACGCCGAGACGCATAAAATTTTAATGCAACAACTTGTAGCCAAGGTTAATAAATGAATAACAACTAAAATACGGCTGTTGGGGTTCTTTCTCCATGTTTGCTTCGGATTCGCTTCCATCACTGCAAAACTAAAGCAAGACAAGCCCAAGACCATCCTATTGGGAATGCAAAAGCAATTTTCTGGATTAGCGGTGAAAGATTTTAAGCAATTTGTTGATAATATTAGATCTGAAAATTGTACCTAAATCTCTGTAAAACAAAAAAAAAGGATATTAATCCACCAAATGCGAAACTAAGGGAGAGCCATGACAAAACCGTGCCGGAGGTAGCCGACAGTGCATCGTCGTCAGTGGAGTGTAGCCGCACCACTAACTCAGGTTGTAATTTTCCCTCGTAGTGCTATTTCTCCTGACTGTCCCAGCGGACTGGCTGAACGCACTGTTGCCGCATCTAACACCATGGAAAGTTAAAATTCTGGAGGCACTACCAGAGGAAATAAATAAAATAATAAATAGACTCATATTTTTGCCAGCTACTGCCCAGCGTCTGAAAAGGACAAGAAGACCTTTCGACTGTTAGATTAACGAGTTCTCTACAGAGAGCAGAGGCTGTTACAATCGCCATGGGGCAGCTAAGAAACCACAAATTAAAATTTGAACTTTGCTTGGGTAAAAAAGATTGCAGCACAGTGTAGCGAGCTCCGTCGCCCGGAAAGGCGCTTATTTTAAATAAACGAGTCACTTATACAGCCCTTGTATATATATGAAATCAATTTTCCACTAGAATCACTTTGCCCCAAATTCAAGCAACAAATTTGAGTGATCGAATCGGAGTATGACACTAATGTGCTCTATTAAACGAAGCACCCATTAAAGGTGCTCACAAAAGATCCGGACGGTCAATCGATATATTCCCTGGTGGAATAACACTACAACATTCTATAACCTCTATAACAAAGATCTAAGAAGAACCACTGTGGAAGAATCAAAAGGCAATTGACAAATATTGCTCAAAAGGGATATGTACACTTAAGAAGCCAGATGGTAGCAAATGAGGGCAAACTGCTGGAAACTCACTTTCCGGGCTGTGTGGCACAGAAGCGAAGGTGAAAATTCTCGCTACCATCGAAATGAGAAAGAGATGGGGCAGTACATCCCAGGAACCCAGAATCGACGACCCCGCAATGGTGTTTCATTAAAGTAGTGTGGCCATGAAAACCTTTAGTCCAAATTAACCTTTAGGACTAAATGGCACACGTCTATGCTTTTTAAGGCATGCAATGGATTAAGTTGTTTCCACTTCGGTCCTAATATTTACCGTTTACAGTTTCATTTCAAATAAATATAGGCCATAGGCCAAGAAATAAGTACTAACCCATTTGTTTAACGTTTTTATACACTGAACCAATAAAAATTGGTTAAAAGAGTCTAATATAGCTGTGCATAATACCACTAACCAAACAACATATAGACTGGACATCACATAGAAACAACGTTGGCACAAACTCGCTATCGTTGGTAAGGGTACCCAAGCGTTGCCATGTGTGCATTTAACATATTTTGGACTCACTATTCACGCATACTTGCATATTTTTCTGGATTAGCGGTGTACGATTTTATGCAATTTGTTGATAATATTAAATCTGAAAATTGTACCTTAATCTCTGTAAAACAAAAAGAAGAATATTAATCCACCAAATGCGAAACTAAGGGAAAGCCAAGGTTTGAAGCTTTTTATTGATTATAGTAGATCGCTCAAAAAGACTCTCGAATAAACTTCAGGCAAGAGAGCCATGAGAAAACCGTGCCGGAGATAGCCGACAGTGCATCGTAGTCAGTGGAGTGGGTACCCTTACTAACGATAGCGAGCTAAAATGCAAGAATTTCGCATCGACGTGGCAAACCCTTCCTCTATTTCATATTACTCGTGCCTTCAAAAGGATAGAAATGCCTCAGCATTTGGGAAAATTTGAATTTTTGCGCAGTTTTGCTTGTCGGACACATACACACACACACACATTTAAACAATCCCTAAACATAAAGAGAGAGCATTGAGAGCCAACAGGAGATAGGCACTCCACCCCTGGTCATAGGACTAGAGCAGCGTCTAGCTATAGATTGCTGCATTTGTTAAGGAAACACCTCATATCCATCGGTCATGACCGCTTTTTGGGTTGTTTGGGACTCAAATTTTTTTATTTGCAACTGATATGTTGTTACTGAGGCCTACCATTTTTTATCAGCGTGAGGAGATCATTACCGCAGCCTAACATATAATTCATATTAGTGTTCTGGATATAGGCAAAAAAGAGAGCCAATCTCCCGCGATAAGAGGGAAAGTATAGAAAACGAATACAGAATGGATTTCTAGCAGACCTCAAAGAAAGCAGGGAGCCACCACAATGTAGGCTGACTTTAGCACAGATTAGAAGTAATCACCCGCAATAATAAACGCTACGCCGAGACGCATAAAATTTTAATGCAACAACTGGTAGCCAAGGTTAATAAATGAATAACAACTAAAATACGGCTGTTGGGGTTCTTTCTCCATGTTTGCTTCAGATTCGCTTCCACCACTGCAAAACTAAAGCAGGACAAGCCCAAGACCATCCTATTGGGAATGCAAAAGCAATTTTCTGGATTAGCGGTGAAAGAGTTTAAGCAATTTGTTGATCATATTAAATCTGAAAATTGTACCTAAATCTCTGTAAAACAAAAAGAAGAATATTAATCCACCAAATGCGAAACTAAGGGAGAGCCAAGGTTTGAAGCTTTTTATTGATTATAGTAGATCGCTCAAAAAGACTCTCGAATAACCTTCAGGCAAGAGAGCCATGACAAAACCGTGCCGGAGGTAGCCAACAGTGCATCGTCGTCAGTGGAGTGTAGCCGCACCACTAACTCAGGTTGTAATTTTCCCTCGTAGTGCTATTTCTCCTGACTGTCCTAGCGGACTGGCTGAACGCACTGTTGCCGCATCTAACACCATGGAAAGTTAAAATTCTGGAGGCACTACCAGAGGAAATAAATACCCGGACTCACATTTTTGCCAGCTACTGCCCAGCGTCTGAAAAGGACAAGAAGACCTTTCGACTGTTAGATTAACGAGTTCTCTACAGAGAGCAGAGGCTGTTACAATCGCCATGGGCCTGCTAAGAAACCAGAAATTAATATTTGAACTTTGCTTGGGTAAAAAAGACTGCAGCACAGTGTGGCGAGCTCCGTCGCCGAAAAGGCGCTTATATTAAATAAACGAGTCGCTTATACAGCCCTTGTATATATATGAAATCAATTTTCCACTGGAATCACTTTGCCCAAAATTCAAGCAACAAATTTGAGGGATCGAATCGGAGTATGACACTAATGTGCTTTATTAAACGAAGCACCCATTAAAGGTGCACACAAAAGATCCGGACGGTCAATCGATATATCCCCTGGTGGAATAACACTACAACATTCTATAACATCTATAACAAAGATCTAAGAAGAACCACTGTGGAAGAATCAAAAGGCAATTGACAGATATTGTTCAAAAGGGATATGTACACTTAAGAAGCCAGATGGTAGCAAATGAGGGCAAACTGCTGGAAACTCACTTCCCGGGCTGTGTGGCACAGAAGCGAAGGTGAAAATTCTCGCTACCATCGAAATGAGAAAGAGATGGGGCAGTACATCCCAGGAACCCAGAATCGACGACCCCGCAATGGTGTTTCATTAAAGTAGTGTGGCCATGAAAACCTTTAGTCCAAATTAACCTTTAGGACTAAATGGCACACGTCTATGCTTTTTAAGACATGCAATGGATTAAGTTGCTTGCACTTCGGTCCTAATATTTACCGTTTACAGTTTCATTTCAAATAAATATAGGCCATAGGCCAAGAAATAAGTACTAACCCATTAGTTTAACATTTTTATACCCTGAACCATTAAAAATTGGTTAAAAGAGTCTAATATAGCTGTGCATAATACCACTAACCAAACAACATATAGACTGGACAACACATAGAAACAACGTCGGCACAAACTCGCTATCGTTGGTAAGGGTACCCAAGCGTTGCCATGCGTGCATTTAACATATTTTGGACTCGCTATTCACGCATACTTGCATATTTTTCTGGATTAGCGGTGTAAGATTTTAAGCAATTTGTTGATAATATTAAATCTTAAAATTGTATCTAAATCTCTGTAAAACAAAAAGAAGAATATTAATCCACCAAATGCGAAACTAAGGGAAAGCCAAGGTTTGAAGCTTTTTATTGATTATAGTAGATCGCTCAAAAAGACTCTCGAATAAACTTCAGGCAAGAGAGCCATGACAAAACCGTGCCGGAGATAGCCGACAGTGCATCGTAGTCAGTGGAGTGTAGCCGCACTACTAACTCAGGTTGTAATTTTCCCTCGGAGTGCTCTGTCTCCTGACTGTCCTAGCGGACTGGCTGAACGCACTGTTGCCGCATCTAACACCATGGAAAGTTAAAATTCTGGAGGCACTACGAGAGGAAATAAATACCCGGACTCACATTTTTGCCAGCTACTGCCCAGCGTCTGAAAAGGACAAGAAGACCTTTCAACTGTTAGATTAACGAGTTCTCTACAGAGAGCAGAGGCTGTTACAATCGCCATGGGCCAGCTAAGAAACCAAAAATTAAAATTTGAGCATTGCTTGGGTAAAAAAGACTGCAGCACAGTGTAACGAGCTCCGTCGCCGAAAAGGCGCTTATTTTAAATAAACGAGTCATTTATACAGCCCTTGTATATATATGAAATCAATTTTCATCTGGAATCACTTAACCTAATATTTACCGTTTACAGTTTCATTTCAAATAAATATAGGCCATAGGCCAAGAAATAAGTACTAACCCATTAGTTTAACGTTTTTATTCCCTGAACCATTAAAAATTGGTTAAAAGAGTCTAATATAGCTGTGCATAATACCACTAACCAAACAACATATAGACTGGACATCACATAGAAACAACGTTGGCACAAACTCGCTGTCGTTGGTAAGGGTACCCAAGCGTTGCCATGTGTGCATTTTGGACTCGCTATTTACAAATACTTGCATATTTAAAATCTTAATCATCATAAATCTTAAATAAGAAGGGCGCGCGTCAGACGCGTGCCAATAATGATATTTTATTTTGCGCACATGATCTGCCCATTCACGGACATTTGTATGTGTGTGTCTATGTTAAGAAGTCGAAAATAAGAAATCCCAAAATCTTGTTAAATTTGCATCGGGGACAGACAGGCACATAAGCGCATAAATGCTTCTATTCATATACAAAATATGCAAGTATGCATGAATAGCGAGTCCAAAATATATTAAATGCACACATGGCAACGCTTGGGTACCCTTACTAACGATAGCGAGCTAAAATGCAAGAATTTCGCATCGACGTGGCAAACCCTTCCTCTATTTCATATTACTCGTGCTTCAAAAGGATAGAAATGCCTTAGCATTTGGGAAAATTTGAATTTTTGCGGAGTTTTGCTTGTCGGACACATACACACACACACATTTAAACAATCCCTAAACATAAAGAGAGAGCATTGAGAGCCAATAGCAGATAGGCACTCCACCCCAGGTCCTAGGACTAGAGCAGCGTCTAGCTATAGATTGCTGCATTTGCTAAGGAAACACCTCATATCCATATATCGGCATGACCGCTTTTTGGGTTGTTTGGGACTCAAATTCTTTTATTTGCAACTGATATATTGTTACTGAAGCCTAGAATTTTTTATCAGCGTGAGGAGATCATTACCGCAGCCTAACATATAATTCATATTAGTGTTCTGGATATAGGCAAAAAAAAGAGCCAATCTCCCGCGATAAGAGGGAAAGTATAGAAAACGAATACAGAATGGATTTCTAGCAGACCTCAAAGAAAGCAGGGAGCCACCACAATGTAGGCTGACTTTAGCACAGATTAGAAGTAATCACCCGCAATAATAAACGCTACGCCGAGACGCATAAAATTTTAATGCAACAACTGGTAGCCCAGGGTTATAAATGAATAACAACTAAAATACGGCTGTTGGGGTTCTTTCTCCATGTTTGCTTCAGATTCGCTTCCATCACTGCAAAACTAAGGCAGGACAAGCCCAAGACCATCCTATTGGGAATGCAAAAGCAATTTTCTGGATTAGCGGTGAAAGATTTTAAGCAATTTGTTGATCATATTAAATCTGAAAATTGTACCTAAATCTCTGTAAAACAAAAAGAAGAATATTAATCCACCAAATGCGAAACCAAGGGAGAGCCAAGGTTTGATGCTTTTTATTGATTATAGTAGATCGCTCAAAAAGACCCTCGAATAAACTTCAGGCAAGAGAGCCATGACAAAACCGTGCCGGAGGTAGCCGACAGTGCA